CTAGACAGTAAAACTGTCTCCGTTCAGAATCGTTTCACGTATACAATGATACCTATCATTGCATTCATATTTTACTTACCCTAGTCAGAGGTCCACCCCACCCCCAATGTACAGCAGAGCGATACCCACTTACCCGCTTTTTTTTTCTATTTGCATTTTTCAATATTATACTGGCTTAAATATATTTCATTGATTTTTGAACATTGAACAATATTTTAAAGTTATTTCATACTTCATGTACAGGGCCAAACTTAAGGGTATCAGGGCTTCAAGGCAGCTACTAAAGAAGGAAGGGCCCTTTTAAATCTAGACACGTGGTAGCGTGTCAAGTCAAGTTCTATCTAACTGACAGAACTAGTGACAGCACCGTGTGTAATATTACACGAACCATTTGGAACCAATTTTGACCCCCTTATAACTCAAATTTGGCTCAAATATTCAAACTTACGAGATACATATGTGCTCCAAATTTCATAAACACACCTCAAACCGTTATTTAGATATTAACCTCCTAAAATCGTTATTTTTATCACTGACTGACTGACTGACCTATAGATCAAAATTCTAACCCAGTTCCAGATGACCTAGAAAGTTCAAATTTGGCATACAGATAGATAGTTAGGTTAATACAAATCATGATCAATAAAAATCAGAAACTTGAAATTTTTAATTCTTTAATAATTGATGTTATTATAATTTTTTAATTATTTGATCTATTATATCATATATTTAATTTTTCAATTAATTAAGTGCCTCTAATTTAATGTAATGTTGACTTAAATAGCTCCGCTATAACCTTTCTCGTATCGTCGCTCTAAAAATACATCCAGTTGAATATGTGTCGATATTGGCGACCTGCGCGCAGCAACATACTTTTTTTCTATGTATGTAATTAATATTAATTAAAAAAAAAAATACAATTAAAATAATTAAATAATTAATCTTACAATTATGAATTACCCACCCACAAATAGAAATTATAGTAAATAAATTTATGATAGTTAAAAATATACTCAAAAAGAGATAAAATAATTTTATATTTTATTACCTACAACAGAAAATATTTTATAATAAATATTATTGATGTTACTATGATAGTAACTGAATTATGTTATATAGTAAAAAACATTATTTATAGAGTACGTAATGGTAAATTATTGTTATCGACTATCAAAACGAAGTCGTTCCAGGAGAAAAATTAAAATCAGTATACTAAGAATAAACAAAAATAAAAACCAATTATATTGTTAGATCTAGACACGCGGTAGCGCGTCAAGCCAAGTTCTGTCTAGCTATAAGCTAATAGAACTGGCGATAGCACCGTGTACAATAATACACGAACCATTTGAAGCCACTTTTGATCCCCTCATAACTCAAAATATATTCCACATAAACATGTTAAATTTGGCTCATATATTCAGACTTACAAGATAAATATGCGCACGCTATACCGCCCCGACTTGGTCAAATTAAGTAGGTATAAACAGAAAACGCATAAAAAAAACCAGATACTGAACGGGCAATCCATTCAACCATTTCAAAAGTACAAGAAAATATAAATAATAACACAAAAATATACAAAGTATATGAATTATGTTATATAGCCTTCGCAAGTTCTAAAGTTATGAGTTATTTTTTATTCTTCTAAAAATTTGTCTTACTGGTAGAACTAGCTATCGAACATAGTGCTTTTCCATGACTGTTTTAGTACCTAAGTACTTAATACAATTCGTATATGACATGTGTACATGTTTTAATTATAGTTTGAACAATAATATATTTTTATTTTTATTTATCACCCCAATCTTCTAACTGCATCCGTTTTAAGGCGTTTTTCCAAAATATCATTAAACGGTATATCTGTCATGGATAAAACG